AATAAGAACCACCCTACTATAGTATATGTATATGTATATAAATGCTGTGATAAATAATGTAGGTATATTATTTCTTAAAAGTATTTTAAAACAAAAATGTATATTGATAACACTGTGCAACACCAAAAATCAAACCGCACCGGACTATTTTTTTCTGAAAATATACCTATCCAATAGCAAAACCCTCGCTGGGTTTGTAAAAGTTAGCTCGATTTATTTTTTTATGGCCGTTTGTATTTTCTAGCTTCATATACCCCAATTTAGACTTATTAATCGATTTTTTTCGCATTTATTCGATTTATATCGTCAAGATTTTTTGTAGAAATGTAGTTACTGAACAAATAAACCCATTTTGTGAACAACCTATATCCCAAAATATTCGAAAAATATTTTTTTTTTAAATTTTTCGATAATATTTAAAATTTCTTGCTACTTCTTCTGATAAAAATGTTGTAAAGTATACTAAAAGAAGTAATTTATAAAATACGCACACAAAACTAAACTTTAAGTTTACTTATTTGCTTGAAAACAATTTTTAAACAAGATTTTCCAAAATATTCATCTTTTCATACTCAACACCAAATTTTTTTCCGAAATCTTTGAAAATCTGTAGAAAAAACTTGAATAGATAAAATAGAATTGTAGAAAAGTACAGAGAGTTTGATTTTTTATTTTGTATTAATTTTATTATTAAAAAACTTTTCTATATCAAAACATTGAGTAATCTGATTCATTTCTGGAGAATTCCATACCTTCCACTTCTTCTCCTTTATTTTCTTGTTCTTCATTTTCATTCTTCACTGGAGAATTCCATCGCTTCATTTCATATATTTTTTATATTCATTTCATTTCAGGCTGATATTCGGAAATTGGTAAAGTATGAAGACTTTGACAGGGCCTTGGTTGACAATGAGTTTCGTGGGCGTCGATAAGAGAAATCATCCTTGGACTTTTAGGCAAACATCGTTCTCCCAATTATGAAGGATCTGTGGGACAAATGTTGGATGTTTTTTTTCCAAAATTGGAATCAATATGTCGCTAAAAATTCATTTCCCTCATCGCCATTTCGACTACTTTAGTCGACAGTTATCGACACAATCATCAAACTGCGATGCCATTTGAGTCCAGATAAAGAGGAAAACGACCTCCAGATGCCATACTAGCCGAAACATTTTGCTAAAGTAAACATATTTTTGACTACGATCAGGAAGAAAATGAAAATGAAGAACAAGAAAATAAAGAAGAAGAAGTGGAAGGGATGCAATTCTCTAGTGTTGAATCAAAAAACGAAAATGAAGAGCAAGGAAATAAAGGAGAAGAAGTGGAAGGGATGGAATTCTTCAGCAATGAATCAGATTACTCAATGTTTTGATATAAAAAAGTTTTTTAATAATAAAATTAATACAAAATAAAAAATCAAACTCTCTGTACTTTTCTACAATTCTATTTTATCTATTCAATTTTTTCCTACAGATTTTTCGGCAAAATATTTGGTGTTGAGTGTGAAAAGATGAATATTTTGGAAAATCTTGTTTAAACATTATTTTCCAGCAAATAAGCAAACTTAAAATTCAGTTTTGTTTACGTATTTTATAAATTACTTCTTTTAGTATACTTTACAACATTTTTGCCAGAAGAAGTAGCAAGAAATTTTAAATATTATCAAAAAATTTAAAAAAAAATTATATTCGAATATTTGTTCCCAAAAATTGGGTTTTTGGGATAAAGGTTGTTCACAAAATGGGTTTATTTGTGCAGTATCTACATTGCTACAAAAAATCTTGACGATATAAATCGAATGTATGCGAAAAAAATCGATTTATAGGTCTAAATTGGGGTATATGAAGCTCGAAAATACAAACGGCCATAAAAAAAAAATTCGAGCTAACTTTTACAAACCCAGCGAGGGTTTTGCTATTGGATAGGTATATTTTCAGAAAAAAATGGTCCGGTGCGGTTTGATTTCGATGACCCGAAAATTGTCGCACAGTGTAATTTAACTTATTTTTGTTGTTTTTTTTTTACGAAAATATGTATGTATACATACATATTTATAAATATTTGTTAAAAAAAACTTTTTTTTTAAATGTAAAGGGTGTTTTCTTATAAATGGGACACTCCTATGAAATCTTTATTAGAATATCGAAAAAATTTAAAATCCAGATGCATTGTTTAAAAAAGTAATTTTTTTGACAAAAATTCAAAAACAAAAAAGCATCGGTAAATTTAATAAAATAGCATCGGCATTGTTTTTTTAATGAAACACCCTGTATATTTTTGAAAAACAATTCAATTGGGCTACCACTAGATCAATTCTAAATTAAAAAGAAATTTTGTAAAATTTTGAAGTTAATTGATCAGAAGAAACACGTGTCCCTGAGGGTTTTTTTTTAAGATAGGTAATTTATGAAATTGTAAGTGTTATTTTTGCAGATTTTTTTTAATTCAAACATATACCTACAAATTATATATATGTGTATTTGAAATTATAATAAAAAACTCTATCTAAATGTTCAAAAATATACAGGGTGTTTCATTGGAAAAATCAATGTTATATCTACATATGTATTTCATCAATTTTACCGATGTTTTTTTGTTTTTTAATTTTTGTCAAAAATTTTTCATAAAATTATTTTTTCAAACAATGCAAGCTAGATTTTTTAATTTTTTAATTTATTTTCAAATAAAGATTTTAAAGAAGTGTCCCATTTATACGAAAACACCCTGTACATAAATATATTTTTAATGTCAATTAAAATATCAAATACCAATTAAATACATCAATTTTACCAATGCTTTTTTGTTTTTTAATTTTTGTCAAAAAATTTTCATAAAATCACTTTTTTGACCATGCAGCTAAATTTTTTATTTTTTTAATATAATATTTTTAATTTAATATATGTGATACAATATAATAATATTTTCAAATAAAGATTTTAGAGGAGTGTCCCATTTATACGAAAACACACTGTACATACATAGATTTATTTTTAATGGCAATTAAAATAACAAAAATTATCAATATTAAAAATATCAAATACCAATTAAATACATCAATTTTATCAATGCTTTCTTGTTTTTTAATTTTTATCAGAAAAATTACTTTTTAAACCATGCAAGCTGGATTTTTAAATTTCTCCTTGAATAAAGTTTTTATACGAAAACACCCTGGACATACATAATATTATATTTATACATACCACAATTAAAATATCAAATAGGGTACCACTTACATACATAATATGTATGTAAGTGGTACCCTATTTGATATTTTAATTGTGGTATAAATGTATAAATATAATATTATGTATGTCCAGGGTGTTTTCGTATAAAAACTTTATTGAAAGAGAAATTTAAAAATCCAGCTTGCATGGTTTAAAAAGTAATTTTTTTGATAAAAATTATTATTATTATTACTAATAATAATTATTAATTAACTATCTACCAACTTTATCTAATTAATATTTATAATAATTAATAATAATAATTATTAATTAATTATCTACCCAATTATTATTTAATTATCATTTAAAAGTAAAATTCTATTTTAAAAAAATATGCCTCTATGTATACATACATATATATAATGTATACATTTTTAATTAAAAATAAATAAATTTCACACGTTTCAGAGGCATATTTTTTTTAAATAGAATTTTACTTTTAAATGATAATTAAATAATAATTGGGTAGATAATTAATTAATAATTATAATTATTAATTATTATAAATAATAATTAGATAAAGTGGGTAGATAGTTAATTAATAATTATTATTAGTAATAATAATTATATAATGAAATAGAATAGAAATTACCTCTCAGAACAGCACTAGGAATTGTAAATAAATAAATAAATTCTTTTGGTTACTTACTTTACTCAATAATGAAATAACAAACTCCACTAAATCCAGACACAAATAATATTATGACTGCAAATAAAAAATTGTGTTGTCGTCTCGTTGCTAAGCGACGAGTTTAGTGAAAGGAGGGGTAAGAAGCTTGCGTGGGAGATCGGAATTTCAAACAAATACCCCTTATTTTATCATATTTTCAAGCTTGGAACATTGGTGGGTAGATGGCGACACCTTACGGACACATTTTCTTGTAAATTAATAATAATACGCCTGGCACAGATCATCCTACCACCTTGCGTCTCTTCACACACTTTACTCAATGCTAACAGGGTAATTTTCACTGACGAAAATACCTTTCAATCAACTTATAACGGTTTAAATCGTGTTTATCGTCCCGATAATAGGTTTGAAGAACGGTATACCAACCCCCTTACTTCATCGCCGTTTTTCTGTGAATCTGAAGCTGAAGCTGGATAAGTGTTTATGGACATGGTGTTTGTTGGCGAATAGAGGGAAGATTTAATGCCGAAAATTATGTAAACATTTTGGTGAACATACTGATACCATCGGCCCAGCAAATATATTCGAACAATACCTTTATATTTCAGCAGGACAGCTGGGAAGATATTAATCCAAATATAGTATTAAATTTAATTCAGTCAATCCCAAATAAATTAACTGAAGTAATATAAAACAGGGATACATTACTAAATATTAAATTTTTTTAATATTATTTAATTAACCTACGACGTCAATGCTCTTTATAACTTATAGTAATTATTTTAATGACTTATGTCAGTGATTATCCGGTTTTAAGCTATAATATTATTGTGACAGTTTTCTTTCATTCTAATTCTTGTACGCTTTTTTTAATGAATACAACTCTGCCGTGCTTAATGAAAACGCCGTAACCAACAATTTTGCGATTTTTGTTTTACGGCATTTTCTACCAGAACAATTCATCCTGTGTCTATCCCCGGTACTCAAAAAACCGTAAATATATAGATACGGTTTTTTGAGTACCGGGGATAGACGCAGGATGAATTGTTCTAGTAGAAAATGCCGTAAAACAAAAATCGCAAAATTGTTGGCACGGCAGAACTGTACTTAAGTGTTTAATAGTTTGATAGTCCAAGTTGGTGCACCTATAAATATGATAAAGATGTAATATTTGACTTCTGGTCAGCTGGCTATAATATTTGGTTATTTGTCCAGACGTGGTTCCTTTTCCAGCATTCTTCCACTGTGGTTCTATCAAATGTTCCAGCTTTGCTTTTTTGATTAGGTAAGTTTGATCCTCTTGTAAAGTTTCCGTGTGAGCAATCATTTGAAAATCGAACATACAGGGTGTGCAGAACTCGGTTATCGGAGTCCAGTGCATATCGAGGCGTTCACCGGACTTCACGGAGTCCACTAGATATTCTACGAACTCCGGGAATGTCGGCCATCTTTGTTGAGGCTTACCACGATGTTCCTAAAAAATTATTTAGCTTTTAAAATTTTTTTAAACAAGTAAAGGACTTTGTTAACCTTATTTCTAAGTTTGTTCCTATATTTAGCCACAATTTCATTTCCAAGTTTCTGATGATGCGTATGAGGCAAAGCAAACTGTAACTTATCTCTATATGCAGATAACAACCTCTCTAGAGGATGTCGAACTATTACAAACGATACTGAATTGTTAAAGGCTTCCTTTAAACCTTGTAGGGACGGTCTCGGGTATTTCTGACGTGCCAAAGTCATTGGCACCAATTTACTCTTCTTTAAAAACTTTGGTTTATACCTAAAAATTCTCTCTGATGGTTATCTAGAATTATTCTATATTCTATATTTTTATTTAAATAAAGTCTATGATTCTTAAAAGTGGGTATTTCTTATTATTCTTGATGTCTTGTCCTATGTAAATATAAATTCTTACCCTGCCAGGATGTTGAAGTTGTACATCCAGCTGGTGCTGGCAGCTTTGAAGACGTTGCACCACACCAAGTGGTGTTTTTTGTCGACCAAAAACTCCCATGGGTTGGGTCTGTGTAAGGTGTCATTACCATTACGATCCAGGCCCAGGTTGTGGCAGGATTTTTTCAGGTGACGTCGGCGTTTTTCCATCCGCATGCCGACCATGGTGAGGTTGTGCGAATATTGCATCGAATCGCTCAGGATTCTGTCGCTTTCATCAAACTGAAATAATAATATGTATAAATATATTTAAACCATACCAGCAGATAAAAAAGTCAATGTGAGTTAAATCGCGACTTCTCGTAAGGCAGTTAAATACTGCGTTCACAAATTAAAAACTCAATACTTTAAAACAAATAAAACAAAGCTCCATCCTCTTAAATAAATTCAGCTTAGTCATTGATTTTCGAAGTCGAGGTTTCAGAAGCGGATAATTTCCATAGAAGCGCATTTGAAATAAGCCTCATTTCACACGGATTTGTTGAATTATTCAAATACTGGTTTAGTGTTTTATTTATTTAGAAATACTTTTTTAGTCCTTAAAATCCTCATTTACTGAGTTGGGGACAAATTCTATTTAATATCCATTTATTTGTGGCAAAACAAGCCAAATGTTCCCACCAAAAACTTAAGTTGTTTCCGATTTTGATGAAACTATGCTAAAACATTGTCCTATCGGACGGACTACTTTGATTAAGCAAAAGTCAAAGTCAGCGGAAAAGACTGAGGGGTTGCAGATACACAGGGGCTTAAAATTGTTTTTCTTTTGTAAGAGCATGTATGACTTTTTTTTAAATCGACAAATAATATATCCTATATCTTTTTTTTCGTGATTTAAGATAGAGGTGGTTTGAAAAGCGAAACAAAAAAAAATATAAAAAATATTTTTACTTTTTTTTTTAAATGGGACCATTTTGATTTTTTTAAAATAAGTACTAAAAAAGCTTATACTTTTCCCTTAATTTTGATAATACAACCTAAATGATTATTCTGATTTTGGTTCCATCTATCGCCCAAGTGCACTTGGATCATTTCAACTTTTAACGTTTTATATCATGTTAACAAATAATGTTACTTGGGTTATTTATACTTAAGAGATGTTTGAGGTTAATACGAACAAAATATGTATAATATGACATAAGACATATGTATAATATTATGACATATGACACATTGTGTGGTTTTGTGGGTTTCTATTCAGAAAAGTGGCTACTTTTAGAACCATGTCTTATTCATTGGGTAAGTAGCTTATTGTATTATTTACAAATTTGTAGTATACAAATACGCTGTGTCTATTGTCACGCTAACGTGAACACAATTTAATTTTTATTCTCACCCTAACGTCAAAATAATTTTGATTTTATGTTACGATAAAACTAAAACAAACCAACCCAACCAACCCAACCCAACACTTTTTAACAAAGAAACAACAAATTTATAAAATACAAAAGTTCGACAAGTATCGAACCCGGTACCTCTCGCATGCCTAGCGATCGCCCTACCATCTGAGCCATCCAGCTTAACATTAATTGTATAACGCTCGGGGAATAAAAACGGATTTACAGTGTGTAACGTCAGTCGGGATCGAATACGAAGTTAGCGTGAAAATAAAAATTAAATTGTGTTCACGTTAGCGTGAGAATAGACACAGCGATAAAAATATAAAGCTTTTTCTTTTACATTTTTAAGGTTATGTCAGTTTTATTTTTTTTTAGTTTTAAGATACGGATAACGATCATTTTAGTACCGATGAAGACTCTGATTACATACCGGAAGACAATGAAATATCATCAGAAGATAATACATTGGCTGACAGTAAATATGAGATGGTAAACCCATCTACAAGCGAAAAAGAGCTTGTAAGCCTGATACATGAACAAAAAATGTAATAAAGCATCAACAATTACAAGGTGAAGAATACATTACGAAGGGAAAGTTAAGAAGGAAAAAGGAGTGTAAAGAAATTGTCCACAGTTGTAGATATGAATGTAAAACATTTACACAAGAAGAAAGTATCCCTGCAAAATCAGTTTTTGTGTTCTTGTATAACCAAAACTTCTGTAAAAAAAAATAAAGGAGGTGGAAATAAGTCTTACAGTAGTGCGGTATACCTGCGGTAAATCGTCGTGTTTGTAGAGAGTTCTTTTTAAAAACTTTGGACATTAGCGATAGTACATTTAAAATTATTTGTAAAAAAACCGATTCTGACAATTTTGTAGAAAGTGATAAAAGGGGCCATACTCCAGCTAAAAATAAGATTAGTGAATTATCGCGAAATATTAATCACATTAAAAGATTTCCGCGTTATAAAAGCATTCACGCAGTCAAAACTCTAATACACGTTACCTGTAAACCTATACGAAAAATGTACTCTCTTTATAAGGAAGATTGCAAAGCAGATATTATACCTGTTAAAGAATCCTATTATAGATAAGTTTTTAATACAGACTTTAACTTACGTTTTCATTATCCCCATTCGGACACCTGCAATAGGTGCGACAAATACAAAAATATAATATCAAATGCCGCAGATGAAGGAGAAAAAAAGAAGTATGAGACAGAGTTAGACTTTCATCACCAACAAGATAAAAAAGCTGTAGATGGCAAGGCTAAATATAATAAACATAGCAAAGAAGTAGATGATACCTTTACAGTCTGTTTTGATTTACAGAAGATCCTTCCCATCCCTCTACTTTCAACAAACAAGGTCTATTATCTTGGACAATTATGTACGTATATCTTTTGTATTTTTAATCTTACAACGGGAACTCCTAACTCGAGGTTCTCAAGAAATAGGATAATGTTTATTGAAAGTAAGTTTTAAAACAGTTTTACCTATATTATGATACTTAATAGTATTTTTTTAGTTTATGAAAAGCTTATCACCAAACATAACAAAGGTCATAGCATACAGCGATGCATGTGGGGGGCAAAACAAAAATAAGAATATTTCTAAACTTAAAGATAAAGGTTATTATATTTAATTTATATTATCCTTTTAAACGTAAGGGTTTCGTGAATATTTCATTATATGCAGGTTATTTAAATAATTGATCACCACGCCAGCAAACGAAAAATCAATAGTAGAATAAATGCATTAAGAAATAATATATTAAATTTAATTATCACGACAAAAGAATATTACGGAAAAGTAGTTGTAATTTATTCCTCTTAGTAGTTTTTAAACATGAATTGGCTCACAAATAGGAAAGCTTTGTGCAATAATCAATGCCCGGAAATTTTTTGGATGAGTTCCAATAAAAAGCAATTTTAAAATTTTTCTGTTAAACGGATAAATTTAGGGAAGTGGAAGATATATGCATATAAAATGGCGGAGTACACATTTTTATGACACAATTTCGAGTCATAATAAATTTTTAATGTCAAAAACTACAAACAAATATGATAGCAAGAACAGTAACGTTTATGGACTAAAAAATACTATATCAAATTTTGAATTTACCTACTTAAATTACCTAAGTTAAAAAAAATTGGGTAAAATTTTGTTTTATGTTGAATAAAACTGCATGATATCGTGTTATTTCATTGGTAAACATTTTACAAGTACCAAAAAATATTTTTTGGAAGAGTGACATAATATTTTACAACGCTGGACACTATTGAAAGAAGCGATCAAATCAAAATGGTTCTCCAGGAGCCGATCCAGAATAATATTTCGGAGGACGTGTTCAAAATATTTATGTAAATTAGAAGGATTCATAATTGCATAAAGAAAAAAAGGTTGGTAAATATTGCCTTCATATAGATCATTTTTCTATGTGCTAATATTCGTACCAATTTTGAACCTATAGGATGCCATTTACTGGTCGCCATATTTATGAAGAACTTTTACATATTCCAAAAATCATTACAGAAACAGGAAAGGTTCATACTCAAGAATACGTTGATGCAGCTTAAAAATGTAAAGTTGAATCGTTCATTAAAGGCATTGTATTTGAGACTCCACAGTGGGGCTTTAAACAAATTCTTAAACATAAACGATTGATGCCCTCATGTCATGGAGCTTATACTTTCAGCTGCTTTATCATGTTTGTTTGGCTCCATAATGGTCCAGCTTCTGGAACATAAGAAAACGGCTGAAAGTATAAGGGTGAATATTTCAAAAGTGCAATTTAATCGGTTCTGGCTTGTTATTTCAAAAGTTAATATCCCACTGAAAATAAAATACTTGATGTCTAGTTTAAATAACTATTTTTACTTGATTCCTTACTTATTTTAGTCTAAACGAGCATAGTAAAAAATATATTTCAATTTTTGTGTCGCAATCGTCATTACCGTGCCTTGTTCACATTCGAAGAACAACAACATATTATTTTCTTACATTTATTTACAAATTAAATCTTGCAATATCCTGTCTAACACAGACGAAGAAAATACAAAATAATACAATGCAAGCAAGAAATTGCATTTTAAAATGTTAACTTTTCTTTTAATGCCGTTTAAACTTTGTTCACACCCATGAGTGTCATTGCCGTGGCTACTTAATTTCATATTTAAATACGCGATACATTCGGAAAAGTTTCAAAAGTCTGATATGGAAATATCCTGCATGTCTAACGCCCACTAGCATATGTCAAACCATAAAGTTGTGACGTGCGCCGAATGAAAACGAAAACGCTTTGTTACGTCCAAGTCCGTCATTGTCGGGGTAAGTATTATTTCAAAGTTTATGCACATAAAAAATATTTACATTAATACAAAGGAGTCTTGCATTAACAAAAAGCAAATAGTAACTTGAAAATTCCATTACGTTTTCGAATAAACATTGTAAAACACTCTAACCTTAAAATCATCATCACCGTGCTCGTCATTGTCGTGTCCCTTACATGTAACCGTTTTAAAATATTTAATTTTAGTGGGAAATTAATTAAAATGACAAAATTACGAAGCAAGTTGACCAACGAAGCTAAAAGACAAGCAGAACTTGAGAGACGTTGAAGAATAAGAGATGACCAAGTAAAACCGTGGGTTCAACTTTCTAAAAAAGAAAACAAAAATTTACGTTTTTAGTCTTCATGTTCATGTTCATGAGTGGAAAAGTCCTAAAAGTGCAAAATTAATAAGATTTGCAATTTTTTATGTGTTAACGAAAATGGTTCCGAAAATCGACAGTTTTAAAATATTCACCCATAAGCTCCATGACATGATGCCCGCATCAAGGGTAACCAAATAGTTATCAAACTGCTTATAGCGCACCTGGTATTGGCATATTTAAGAATCCTTTATTTAATCGTTAGAGAAAAAATACTATTAATACTAACAGCAACCACAAGCCGATTATAAGGAATTTTTGAGCTTGTCTCTTCTGTTTCTTGGTGGATAAAATGCGCATCCGGCCCTACACATCATCTTTGTCAAAAGTAATTTTTGTCCTAAAGATATACCTTTTCCGAAATATATATATTTATATATTTATGTATTAAAACTTTTCACAGCATGTTTTGTTTCTTTCAGAGCATTTTTTGACGACAGAAAACTAAATAAATAATACACTCTTAGAAAAGACCTGGTATTTGCAATGAAAATTTAGTTCCCAGAACCAATTTTATTAGTGAAAATAGGCACAACAAAAAAATATGTTGTGGGAACTAATACAAATTTGTTTTTACAGTTTGTTGTCGGAACAGCCAATATTGGTAGCTCCAACCAACAAGTTTAAGTGCATCGAAATTAGTTTTTTTTTCATACAAATAATTGATATTTAATGCAATCACATTAGTCTGTCATGTTAGCAGCGTCTAAGTTGTAACAACTGCACTTGCTATTTATCGCAACAAACATTGTATCATGCAGGAATTTATTTTTTAATTGAAATTACATGAAAAAAGGTACATTTAAAGAATTTAATAGTTGATATAATATAAATTTGTTTTGTATTGTAACTAAGTTATATTTAATATTAAATGCTTGCATTAGTAGCAACAACAAATTGGTATTATTCCACAGTACATACCTGCTTAGTAAATATAACACTTTTTGTGTAAATATTATAAAAAATAGAGAAAGGAAATTCATGCCCGTTCGTTTTATAAATATTTATTATAAATTAAAAAATAACAATATAACTGAAAACACCAAATTTTGGTTTAAACATTATAACAAAAATTAATAATTACTATAAGAAAACATTTATAAATATTTTAACAATAAAACAAAAACGATTCTTTGGTAAATATACACAGATAGGTACATTAAGATGAAAGTTGACTATACTTCTTCAATAAACCGTGATGTTTACGTGAAGTGCAAGCCTTTGTTTAACAACTTAACAATGATTCTTAGGTACAACGTAACATACTTGCATGATAACAGGGGTAAGAATTCGAAATTCCGACGTGATGGAGACTTTTGGTGGGCACCATTGGATTCAGGAGGCCATTTTCAGTCGGTATGGCATTTTCACATTTTTGAATTTTTTTTCGGACCCCAAAACTACAATAGTGTAATTAAAGGAGTGCAATAATTATACCTAACCTTTAAAAACTGGAACCAATTCAGGTAAACCCCATGTTCCTAATAAATCTGCTAGGTACTTCAGTCCGCTTATCCATATTATTTGTTCGAGATATCTATAAGTAACCAACACATAAGAATATATTCTTATATATATGAATAGTTAAAAATTATGTCGCCACTGAATTTACAGGGGCAAATGACTAATTGTAATAAACTAGTTTCTTACCTAAAATATACACAACACACGAGCTGACAAGAACAAACACCACCGTCTGGACGCCGTGCAACACCGTTTGTTTACAGGTTAAAAGTAAAGCACGCGCCGGGCTGGACAAATCGCGCGCGAAATGCACAAAGTTTGCAGTTGCATTAACCTACAGAGACAACATCCCCAACTGACACTTTGTTTCACACCGCTGGTGTCTTAGCTGTATGAAAAGTGACGCATAGTTTATACAACCGAACCGTTAGTTCCACGGACTAATTTCAGTCAGTTAAGAATGTTACTTAAATATTTGGTCCAACAAAAACATTTTACCGCCGAAATGATTTTTTTGAGATAATGTTGTCAATACTTCTAGCCAACACAAAGTTTCAGTTAAAATAACTTAATCGCCTTTTTGCAGTAAATAATACTCCACAACAAAACTAAATCTTTTCAGGTAATGATGCAAGCAGTTACACATATAAAGGTACTGATTACAAAAAACAAAAAATGTTATTTTCTGCAACAGTTTTACCCCAACGATAATAAGTTAGTTACAAATACCAGGTCTTTTCTAAGAGTGTAGTAAGTAACTTAGTGTTCAAAGTTGTCTGATTGTCCACGTCACATTAATTAATGTAAGGACATTGATCTAACTATAGAACATTTTGCTACTAAATAAAGCTGCAGCTTTTTCTTTAATGTGCTTATTATTGAAGAACTGCAAAAGTTATTTTTTGTAAGCAAAAGAATTTAAATAATTTTTTTTTTATAAACTTTTAAATAAATCAGATGAAGACAATTTGTATTAACGTTGTTTGCCAAAGTGAAACAATTTGAGTTAAAGTGTAAATTTGGCACAGGATTTAATCAGATTGTTTTGGAAGTTTATAGTTGAATTGCCAGCTCCAATTTTGAGAGGTTATGTGAGGAGGATGACACTATTACTTTAAAAAATTCATTGAACAAAGTATTAATCAAAGAATCGAAAATATTACTCGAAAACGATGACGAGTTCATGTTCATCCGACATTCATCAGTGGCGTAACTACCACCGGTCCTACCGGTTTCAGAGAAATTATTTTTTATCTAAATATACGAAAAATGTTCAATATGAAATAATAAAAATTTTGCTTTTTTTTTGTAGTAATAAATATTTGTTGCCTGCTTGATATTATATTTCTATATAATCTCAGATTGATTGAAAACAAATCAGAAATCTAGAACTCAAAATTTAGAAATTAAATATTTTGAAATATACATATTAGATTAATTGAAATTACAAATCTAGAATCATAAACTCAAAATCGAATATTTCACATCGAAAGTCAAAAAGAAATTTTGAATAGGATATATACCTATAGGTATACATTCTTGGTCAATAGAAATTCAGAGATGAAAAAATAAAAATGAAAAAATTGCAATTTAAAATAGGAAATTCTCGATTACACATTTACAATTTTTTCAAAATTAAGAATCATTAAAACTTATCTTCGAAGTACCATGGGCCAGGAGCCTTTGAGTGATTTGAGTATTCTGTCCATTGGACACGAAATAGCCAATCGTTTGAGAAATAACTTAGATCAAATTATTCACAAGTTTGCTGATTTGAAAGAAAGGCGTATTAAATGAATATCACAACTTCGAGAACTCAAAAATTAATTTTCGATTTTCTTTACTGATTTTTATTTGAGTATTCTACCATAAAAATAAAATGTTTTACGTGAATAACACTTGATCCTTTTTTTAAACATCATTTGTATATACATCCCTTCGAAATCATGAGCAATGAATATTATTGTGTAAGGCAAGGGGGGTGGAGTGGGAAAAGTTTAAATGATTTAACAAAATTTCCTGGTAAGGGCCCCCTAGTGGGAATCCGACTGGGGCCCCCATTTCTATAGTTACGCCACTGACAATCATAACAACAATTTAAAAAAGTACAGCACCAACAATTAAAAGAATAATGCATGTATACTATAGTCACTATGATTTCCAACTCTACAGATGGTGCTCGACAGCTCCTAAACAATTCAATTAGGGATAAATAAGTGCAAACTGATTTGAATATATCGATACCTTATGTCTCGTTAAGCAGCCCCCAGGAATTAATTTTAAGAATGTTTTGAGATTTATTACAATTAGATTAAATATTTATGCTATTCCGCCCAGAAGGTCTTTTTGTGCTTCGCGTTGGTCTTTATACTTTGAGCTAAACACAAAAAGACTCACTTCTAGACCATATAACTATTATTTAATTTATTTTAATAAAAAAAACGTAAAAATACAATTATTTAGTTTGCAATTTAACATGAAGAAGCTTATCACAAAGTGAATGGATGTTGGCCACATTGCTACATTTCTAGTATTTTTTTACCTGAGGTCTTAAAAATGTCGTGTGCTGGACAGGTCTCATGTAGTGATCGGTAGCGACCAGTAGTACCAAAAGAACGGGGATGACGCAGACGGCGGTGAAAAAAACAACGCATCGTCTGATGGCTCGCCATCCGCTCACTTGATTTCTTCGACGTTTTCGTAAACGCATTGCGTTTGGATGCGTTAGTGCTGTAACAGGTGCATTTCAGGGTATCTAAAAAAAGTTTATTAATGTAATTTTATTTGCATAAAAATACTGTAAGAGTCGACGTAATTATAATAGGTAAATCATAAATATTTTATATTGTTTTTTTTTATTTTGCTTTACCTTACAGACCTACATACTGTACTGTTTCTTTGATTGGGCTTTCATGTCCATTCAAATTCTCATGTGCGTGTTTGTAAAAATTATAAAAGCTATTGAGGTTTGTAAAAATAGACAGAATATTTATGTGATACTGTGAGCAATTAAGTTTACAAAACAGTTGTTAAAATATAATTTAATTTAAATTAAATCGGACTATATTTTTCCCAATTTTTTTTCTCAAAATTTGATGTCAGAATTGCTCCACCAAACAAAACTCTTTAGCTGTTTAAAAGTACTACTCTTTCCCTTAAATACCCCTTCTCTAAAAGTAGTACTTCTAGAGTGCATAACGATTTTTGTGAAAAAAAAAACACTCTGTGATGTAACAATATGCGTTTTTCAGATTTTCTCAACACCCTAACGCAAGCAATTCAGCGCATCAAAAACATGGACCAAATATAGTGCTCTAAGGCACACCATATTTTGCTTTCAGTTGTTCAGATAACAAAACAATTTATTAAGCTTTTGTATAAATATGCTTGATTAATTAATTTATTTGTTTACTTTAATTAATTAAATTATAGTTTACTTTGTCCGGAAAGCAGCAAATATTAACATAATGTGATTTAACAATGTTAAATTAACATTGGGTAATATTTGTACTTCATTACTAAAAATAAAATATTTGCTACATACAATTGCGTTTTACATTTAGTTTTTGTAGATGTATACATGTAAAAAAATTAACTAAAGTAATTTATAAAACATGCACCTACACAATGTACCTAAGTATTTAAAATATATTTAAAAAAAAATAGGAAGTATAATAGTTGTATCAAATTTTGTGAACGCCAATTTAGTCACGAATTTAATTTAGGCTCGAGCGAGCTTGCGAGCGAGTACTTAATTAAATGAGTGTCTAGAAAAGTTTATAAACGAGTTGCATACTGTACTTTTTCTACGACAAATACTTAATATTATCTAAAAATTATTTAAATTAAATATTTGTATAAAATATCAAGTTTTTCTGTGTAAATCAAAATGTATCCCTTAAAAATAGACTAACAACCGACATAGAAAGTAAAAGTAAAGAAAATGTTTTATGGGCACTGCACGCAACATTTTTAACGCTTTATCAGTTAAAGCTAGTTTACTGCACTACCATGGCGAAATCAAAAGGTCAGTACAAACTTTCATACAATCTTTTCAAATATTGGCGTCAAGAAACTAGTTTATACTTTTGTATTGAGATAATTAAATAAAATTAACCTTTAGTATTATTTTACAAGAAGGGCACTTTATTTTAACGATTGTATGACATTTAACAACTGTCAACTAACTTAATACTAACTTCAGTCCGTGACCAAAAACCTGTGGCTAACTTCAGCCCGTGACTAAAACGCCATAAAGCCACAACATGTCAATGTGTATTTAAAAAACCACTTAGTGTCATAGAAACATGTTCGATAATGAGCGTTTTAAAGGTGGGAGTAGAAAAAATGTATTATATTTACCATGTCTATCTGATCAGAATTAGTTGGGAATCCCAACTTGGGATATATGGGTACATTAATTAAATTTTACTATGTTGCTACCAAATAAATGTGCTACAATGCTACCAAATAAATGTGCTACAATGCCAATATTTAAATAGTATATTTATTATGTATCAAGTTTTACAAACGCCATTTTAGTTTTATTTGGCACGAGCGAAGCTTGCGAGTGAGTGTTTAATGAAAACGGGTGTCTAGAGAAGGGTATTTCCACGAAAACTTACCCCACAAAAAATCAGATGTGTTATTTAATAAAATAACAACTATATCTGAAGTCAAATAGTTTAATTGCGACGTAATTTATACCTTTAAAATATTCGAAGAAGCTAATATTAAGAATAAACACGGAAGAGTTTCAATACTCGATAAAATGTTCAAATGTCGCACCCGTTACATTTGGAGAACATTTTAGAAAATAAAGTATACAATATTTGTGCATTTAAAATACGTGCTTTTATAAGGTAACTATTCAAGTTTTACACAAAAAATTATCACTATATACTTTCATCCAAAATTTTACAGTATCAACTTTAGAAGCCATCTTGGTCGCATTTGCCGATTTTCTAAGGTCGCGCCGTTACGCTATTCATGCCGTTATAAAAAGGTTTCTATACTATATATATATATATATATATATATATATATATATATATATATATATATATATATATACAGGGTGTCCGGAAAAAGGAGGTCAATCCGTGAGTTAAAATAATAAGACTTTTATAATACCATTCTTCAATTTAGAGCTTCATGTTCGATATACAGGGCGACAAAGTTTGAAATTTAAAACTGATTTTTTTTAATAATTCGAGTAATTGATAAAATATTAAGTTCAAATTCGGTACACTTCTTTAACATAAATAGTTACATATTTTGAGAACAACAAAACAAAAAACAATTGTCAAATAAACAAAATAGGGGGGTCCAGTACTCACTGACTTTCCTTATTTCTAGTACGTGCGCCAATGACTTCCAAACTTTATTTTTTCAGGTAATAATTTATTGGTGATTATTTTTTGTCTCTTATAAAATTTTGATAAAATGATTTGTTTTAGAGATAATTTGTAAAGTATTGGTCCTTGATTTATGCCTACGCAGCTTAAGGCAATCTCATAATTTTCAAATACTCAAAATCAAGTAAGCCGCTGTGGCATTATCATTGATACAATTAAGTAAAATTTAGCAATAGGTAACAATACCAAAAACTAGCCAAAAATAACCCAATTTCAGTGACGCACAGATAAAAATAATACTAAACCAGAAAAATTAAATTAATTTTATTGCCCTAGGAAGAACTTACAATAATTACTAATTTTCTTTAAATAACAGTAAAACGCCACTACACGGAGAGAAAAGTATATTACTGATTACCATAATTATAATACCCTTTACTATATTATATATTACTATTTGGGACAACTATCTTGTATATTGCCAGTTACTATGCATATTTAGTAATTTTTAAATATCCATGTATATTAAACCTTAAGGTTATTATTCTCAACCAATTTTGTTTTTAATTCTTATTATAATTAGATAGTAAATTTTAAAAATAAATATAATAGATACGTAACCCATAGGAAACTAAATAGTGTATTTTATTATTTTGTATAATACATTTAATTAAATCATATAGTAAATATTACTATTTGTAGATAGTAAAATCAATTTACTATACGAATATATTCAAAATTAAAATACGTATTATACATTTTTGATCTAATAATATTGGTGTTGTAATCTTTACTAAAATTGTATAATAAAAAATACTATTTCGTATTACAATCTTTATATTTTACTGACGAATATTTAATATTGTTAAACTAAACATTTTTTAAAGTAAATTTTAATATATTTTTTTAACTATCTAAAATTTACTATACATTTCTCTCCGTGTATTATCGCTAGTTCATAAGTCAATAATTTACTATCACTTTTCAAGCCTTATAACAAGATAATAATTATTTAAAACATATTATTTCTTTAAAATATGTAACAAGTTATAACTTTGGTAACTATAGTAACCAAAACAAAATATATTTTTTTGAACACACAGCCCTCTTTATTAAAGAAAATCTTAGCCTACGAAAAATATTTGACTTTAACCTGAACTCCTCTCCCACTTAAAGGATTCTTTCTCTTAAATGATTTTTGCTCAAAATCGGAACCATATACACAAAATCTATCATATCTCCAGACTGAATAGTCCAAGGGGGTAAGGTCTGGGGAACAGGGTGGAAATTTAACAGAAGCATATTTACCCCGACCAATCCATTGATTATGAAAGATTTGATGTAAATAACATTTCTAGCAAAATGCGGAGGAGCACCGACTAGTTTTTTTTTGCTTTTTTAGTTCCACCCTAACTTCCTAAGAAGTCCCAGAAGCCAACTGAATGGCTTGTGCGGGTTAGGGGTAGGAACGGACCCCTCCGAAGGACTATTACACAATAGGACAAACACAAAACACAAATATGAATCCAAATATCATCAATGATGATGCGTCTCTACTGGCTCAAAATTTCTGTGTGGCACTTAAAAATTGATGGTCTCATTTTTCATTGGTTTCCAATCGGTTTAGGGGTAAAAACAACTTTCCTAAAGTAGTTTTGCAAAAAATCGATTTTTACAATACTTTTTGAAGATGTTTTTTTCAAAAATTGATAACTTCCGAACGGTTCATTAAAACTTAACATTTTTTGTATCAAAATTTTTGTTGAAAAATATACTTTACGATACAAAATTTGTTGTTAGAGGCAAACCTTTAAAAAAAATGAAGCTATTTTTTTTAAACAATTGAAAACTAATAAAACTTCTCCGCCTGCGAGGAAATTTTTTCACATTTTATCTTATTTTAGAAAAAAGTTAATATTTTGTAATAGGTCAAAAGTTATAAATGTTTTTGTGACCGCGCTCCGACCTCTAGCGCTGGACAAGCACGTTCGGACGCGCGCTTGTTATAATGCTTCAAATTTATTTAAAAAGTGATAGTAAATTATTGACTTGAACTAGCGATAATAGTGGCGTTTTACTGTTATGTAAAGAAAATTAGTAATTATTGTAAGTTCTTCCTAGGGCAATAAAATTAATTTAATTTTTCTGGTTTAGTGTTATTTTTATCTGTGCGTCACTGAAATGGGGTTATTTTTGGCTAGTTTTTGGTATTGTTACCTATTGCAAAATTTTACTTAATTATATCAGCGGCTCACTTGATTTAGAGTATTTGAAAATTATGAGATTGCCTTAAGCCGCGTAGGCATAAATCAAGGACGAATACTTTACAAATTATCTCTAAAACAAATCATTTTATCAAAATTTTATAAGAGACAAAAAATAATCACCAATAAATAATAACTTGAAAAAATAAAGTTTGGAAGTCATTGGCGCACGTACTAAAAAATAGGGGGAGTCAGTGAGTACTGGACCCCCCTATTTTGATTATTTGACAATTGTTTTTTGTTTTGTTGGTCTTCAAAAATGTAACTATTTATGTTAAAGAAGTCTACCGAATTTGAACTTAATATCTTATCAATTATTCGAATTATTAAAAAAAATCAGTGTTAAATTTCAAACATTGTCGCCCTGTATATCGAACATGAAGCTTTAAATTGAAAAATGGTATTATAAAAGTCTTATTGTTTTGACTCAAGGAATATATGGTTAACGGATTGACCTCCTTTTTCCGGACACCCTGTATATAGTTTTTATTGACATTTTGTATACTATTTTTTGTATACTATTTTTTTATATTACCTAACGTATCTTGATAAATATGAACAAACACTTTATTATCATGAAAAAAGCAGTTTTAGTGTCGCACCCGTTACAATAGAAATACCCAGAAGTTTATAAAATGAGTTTCAGGTACTATACTTTATCTACGACGAACAGAAATAAGAATTGGAAGCCAATTTTAATTTTCATAAATATTTGACATCTGACAAATTTAACCTTACTTTTTCGTAATATATAATAAAGCTAACTTCAGCCCGTGACTAAAATGCCCAAAAACCACTGTGCTTAACTTCAGCCCGTTACTAAAATGCCATCATTTCACAGCTCGTCAATGTAAAAGTAGATAATAGTTTATTATTTATCAAGTTTGATAAACTCTATTTTAGACACGAATTCAATTTAGGCACAAGCGAGCTTGCGAGCAAGTGCTTAAATTAATGAGTGTCTAGAAAAGTTTATAAACGAGTTGCCTACTATACTTTTTCTACGATAAATACTTATTATTATCTTAAAATGATTTAAATGAAATATTTGTATAGAGCGCCATCTATAAAAAAATAGGGAAATCTGTGTTAGGTACCGTCAAATGTCAAATATTTATGTGTTATAAAGGTTATAAATCGAAATGTATTGACGTTGAGAAACTATTTAATGCTTTTGTATTTTTGTATTGCGATAATAAAATAATTTCCACATTTTACAAAAAGGGCACATTATTTTAACGATTGTATGACATTTGAAAACTGTCAACTAACTTAAAGCTTTAGCCCGTGACTAAAAACCTGTTGCTAACTTCAGCACGTGACTAAAATGCCATAAAGTCACAACTTGTCAATGTGTATTTAAAAGGTAACTTAGTGTCATGGAAACATGTACGATAATGGGCATTTTAAAGGTGGCAGTAGAAAAAATTAGTTTTTTATCATTGATAGTTTATATACAATAATATATATATACGATGCTTTTAAAACACAAATATTGTAAAATTAGTTTTTTATCCTTGATGGTTTATATAACGTGACGTGACTTAACTATTTTACCGTGTTACTTATTTCAAAATAACCACAAATAAAATATTGTCATCTCACCTGACTTAAAACATTAAAAAATTTTAACACAATGTTTACTTGTTTATCACTTTTAAGTTCACATTTTGAGCAGAATGGTTTCTTGAATTCAATCGCGCTTTTTGCGTTCGACGTTTTTAGAGGTTATGGCATTTTCGGGCGGTTTAAAACGACAGCCGACAGCATAGCGTCGAAACGGAGGCGGATCTGGTATCGCACTGCAGTCGCAGCTGACGGCACCAAAGGCGACACGCCGCGACGCCGCCGCAGGAAATCTAGCGGTCTAGAGGTGATAGGAGAGGAGCGAAAATTTCTGGTGTTGCAGGAAAATGCGTTTATTATTGGTTTAAAAAAATATTTAAAAAATAAGGTAAACAAATCAAACAAATTTATTATTTTTTGAAAAAATATTATCTCATATCTATAATATTAATAATAATATTAATAATTAATAATATTATTATCTTAAAATTTTTGTACGTCATCTTCCAAAAAGTTTGCCATTTTTTATTTTTGTTTCAGGAAAAAACTTTTTTTTTTTCAAGCGGCCATGATATACAACCTTATATGCATGTATAGAGATAGTTGAAGTGCGTCTTTTTCATTAGCGGCAGACAAAAAACTCAAAAAAGCCTAGGGATAGAAGTAAATCCATAGGTGACTCAATAGACGTGAAAAAATAAAATTAATTTAGCATTTCATACAAAGCAATCACGATGTATCACTTCTACTTCTTATGACATAACCTACTATTGTTTTGCCTTTGATACTTCTGCGGGCCTACTTTTTTATATTTTTTTAATTAAATTATCATTATTTTCTTAAAAATTAATTGACACTGTCATTTGTCATCGAATCTGTGGTTATGGTAATTACACAAAATTGTACTATTCTTTAATTAAATTATAAAAAGAATAGTGTTTAACTCTTGAGAAAGCGCCATTTCCATTCGGATAAATTACTGCTATAATTAATAGTTCATTCTTTAGGAAATGGCCAACTTTCTCAATAGTTGAAAAATATGATCCCTTAGATAAAATACACACACTAACGTAACTATATAAGCATTTAAGCGTTGAGTTTCTTAATCAATGATATAAAGAATAATCAATCGAAATCGAGTACTAAACCAGTTTTTTAGTTTTTTCCTTGCAACGTAAAACACAAATAACGTGCGCGATTTAGCTGTGCAATTGAACAAAATTTGTCGAGTAAGACTTCTGCCTTCCTCCCTTTTTTGAAAAAAACTACCTATTTATTTAAAAATGATGTACAGTTCGTATGCTTTAAATGTATTGTTGACAATTCTTAAATTCACGCAATGTTTTTGAAGTCCACCAGATGGCGCGCGCGTTGCGGAAACCCGATACTTCTGTAGCGTATACACAAAATAGTATTAAAAAATAAAACATGAAATATCCTTGGTAATATTTGTAATACCATTCATAGATAACAAAGCCTATAAACACTATTAATACTCACATGACAAACAAAACAGCCAATTGGTTCAAAAAGTTCAGTATATATTGCAAACGTAAATATGGTAAATATGGTTTATATTTATATACCTTAATATACAATGTCAATGTCTATGTCAATGTATATGTCAATGTACTATTTGAAATCATGATTATTTTTGTCACATTAATTAGAAGTGCCAGGAACTTTAATAGTGAGCAATATTCTGCCCATTAAAGATTATTTCCATTAGTTTATTAAGTGGATTACTGTTTTTCGCATCAATTGTTGTTACTGTTTTATTTTCTCCGTGTACCTACAAAAAAAACAACAAAATAAGTCATTAAGTTTGATTTATTTATAACTTTCACTAATCTAGATAAACCTGTACTACAATATTCCTTATTTTTCCATGGAATAATGAATATTTAAAGTTTAAAGTAAGTTTCTACCATAAATATGGAAATGGTGTCTTTTGGTACGCTGGGCCCAATACTTTGCGCTCGGGAACATAGTACAATTGGATTGCATGACTTTATGGTGGCTTAAGCCAAAAGTTAAATATGGAATTATCTCTAAAAAAATAATTTGCGTTTTGCAATGATCATCCACGTATGGAAAAACTTTTAAGTGAAAAACAAAATCAACAATCGCATTCAATTATTATTTCAACTAAAACTAAATTTTGTTTTGCATACTGTCTGTCACAAGAAACTTTTACAAAATTTGGAAAATCTTGGTATAAGGGGAAAAATGTTGAGTCTGATGGAAACCTTCCTCGAGGACAGGATCCAGTTTGTCAAAATTGATAACGTGATCCACTACACCAATCTTTGGGGTTCCACAAGGAACAATATTGGGCCCAATTTTGTTTCTAATTTATATTAATAACTTGTTCAGGCTTACAATCAGGGGTAATTTTATAAGTTTTTATAAGTTTTGCAGTTGACACAACTATATTTTATTCAGCAACTACTTGGAGTCATCTAAAGGAAAATATAGAAGATGATTTTATTTCTTTAAAAAATGGTTTGACAAGTTGTCAATGACAACGCCAAACTTACATTAAATTTGGAATGTAGGTATATATCTTTTGTCTCTTATAAGAATAGTCTTCCTAAGTATGATAGCCTGGATTGAAAGTCTGATGAGGAAGTTTTAACAATAAAATCAGTAGCCGCCTCAAGATTTTTAGGGATATTTATAGATGGGATCAACAAATCCAACAAATTAATAAGTTTTATTCCTTATTTTAAAATTTTACAGGAGTTTGTTTCGATAAAACAATTTAACATCATATACGATGCCTTGATAGAATCCCAACTAAGGTATAGTATAATAGGTTGGGGAGGTGTGAACGAAAATTATCTAAATGATTTGCATGTGACGCAAAAATACATCCTCAAAATAATACATAAAAAAACTACACCTATCCCTCAGATGAATTATACAATTTATCCAAAAAGATGGATTGTAGGCAGTTGTATTATTTGATGATAATCCAACAGACCCATTCTCAAAAAAAAGAATACAAAGAAACAAAAACACGAAACACATTTAATTTACCTATTCCAAGAGCAGCTAAGACAACTGGTCAAAGATCTTATAATACTCTGCCTACAGAAATCAAGCAATTACCAAATAATATAAAATTTAAAAAAACAACTAAATTGTATGTACAACAATTAAACAGAAAACTTGTTCGTATGAAACTTGATATAAAAAACCACCAATAAAAAAAACCGATCATAATATTGTCATTAAAATTTTATAAAAATTTTATACTATTTATTTTAAGACCTTTTACACAATAAACTAATTTTCTTAATCTCTAAAATTATTGAACACTGTCTATACTTTATTTCTTATTAATTTTATGAAGTACCTTTGTAATATTCTGTAAGTTAATTTAGTTACATTTAAGTATAAGTTATTGTTTGGTGTATATAATTGTTTTTAATTACATACAAATAAACTTTTGTTTATTTAAGTGCTTCTTAGCATATTTATTGCCATGATTTTATTTATTTAATATATTAAGATAATTTGTAAACAATTTTATATTCTATTTTGAGCAATAAAAATTATTATTATTATTATTATTATTATTATTATTAATAAAACATTGCCAAATAAATCCTACAAACCCCACCAATTGTACATATCCAATGCATTTCTCTTCTTGAATAAACCGTCCCCTGTCCCTCATCTCCCAGCTGCTGCACTGTCCGAAAACAAAAGCACAACGTTGTGACGCATGCGCCCCCTGCAAGGCGCTCAAATCGACCGACGGCAAATCGTCTAAAAACTTTGTAGGGGAGCATAGTTTTTACCTTATGTTTTTTATTTTTAGTCCATTGAAAAACTTGGTGATCATGATGAAAAATGATTTGGAGAAAAGTTTTAATTACTTGGTAAAGATTTTCGAGAAGAGAGAAGAAGAGATGGCGATGAGCCTCCAAACTTTTATATCTGATCATAATTTTGAGGACTGTAAAAACATAACTGATATTATAAAATCTAGTTCAAATATTGTTAATATTGGATATGTGGTGGTTATCATTGATGTGCCACAATTCATTGATAACATTCAAATATCTTTTGATGGTATTTTGATGTATGAAAAGGGTTCATCTGGAAAAGATAGCATTACCAAATTACCAAACATTACCTTGTCAACTGAAGACATTTTTAATTCCAAGGTTTTTATAACACGAAATGAGTCAAGAAAACCTCTTAAACCTTAAAATTTTAGTTTGAAGTTGACTCTTCCAAAGACATCATTTCATTACTGAACTACAGAAATACCTCGCTGATGATGATAACACCAAAAGATTGGAGTAGCTCTATTGATAGCACTTTTGAATTTTACTGTTCCTTTACAAAACTCCCTATAGATTGTAAATGTAAAAAATACTTTTTCTCCAAAAATGTTAACCAAGCAATTGATAATTCTTTGGTTGTACTTCACGCCCCTTCATCCAAAACTTTAAACGCCCATCAGATATCTTTGTACACCAAGTAAGTCTAATAATTTTACAAACACCCTGTATAATATATTATATTTTAGGAATGATCAGACTCTTTTATATTTGCTTCACCATCTGCACAAATCCATTCCAAACCTAATCTTACTACCATTTGTATACTACAAAAGATATATTGCCAAAGAAAATGATGATGATTATGGTAGAACCCAACTAGTAAGTTCACTGGAAAAAGAAGCAAAATATATTATGGATTTTTTTGAAAAATTAAAAAAAGATCCTGAAGAAATCGATAAAAATGATGTTATTAAATTTAGATTAGAATTGGCTGATCTGGAAGAAAACTCTGACCATGATAACATTAAGGTCCAAAAATAAGTACAAAATTAACGTAATATATTAATTTATTTAACAACATCAAGTATTACCTTAAAATAAATAAGTATTAGTAACTAAATCATAAAATAAAACAAGAATAAAACAAAAATAAATAAAGATAATAAAATTTTCGATTGATAACAGTGACTAAGAAATAAAGTAGATATGTCCAACACCCGTTTTATCCCATATAAATGGTATTTATACCAAAAGATTTCCCATGTTTATTTGTTTATTTAGGTATTCATTTATTATTTATACAACGCACAGGTACTAGAAGCGTGCCCATATACTTTGTATTATACAATGCGTAGCCTTACATACATGGCCATAAGTAAACTTATATATTTACAAGTTAAAAATAGGTGCCTATACTTTGCTGTACAATGGAAAAAGTTTACAAAATGATTTCAGAGTTATAAAAAAAACCATTAGGTAAGTACATTTATTTTCTATAGAAACTAAATTTAGTTAATTTACATGAAATAAATACATTTTATATACGATGGTTTAAAAAAATATTTACATATTTACAAATTAAAAAGCAAACAGTAAAATGTTAAAATTAATCCATATTTGTTGAAGAATTAGTACTATACTACCCTGCTAAGTAATAATAATAATATAAAAGACAATTTGTTTTTATTGTTTAAAAAAATTTAAATGGTCGTTTGTATTACCTAATATTGTAGTAATGGTTTAGCTTAGCAGGTCCGTATATTCCTCGTCTTACGTACTTATACACTGTATAATATACAGGGTATATACAAAAACCCTATATATATATATATATATATATATATATATATACAGGGTGTCCTGAAATTAGTGCACCATACTTTAACAGCAGATTGTACGTGCAAAAATAAGAAAAAAAGTCCCTATAAACATAGGTCAAGAAATGCCTCTTAAGGGAGCTACAGCCCCCAAAAGGAAAGCCCCTGAAGGTGGTTTTTATTTAATATCTCCAAAACCGTTAAAGATATATAAATGAAATTTGGGGAATTAATTATGACCAATAAGACGTAACAATAACAATTTAAAAATTTTTATGAGGTTCGGATCAGATTGATAGGAAGTAAGGTTAAAACCACCTTAACTTTTTTGTACGTATCTTGTACCAGAATTTGGTATTAGATTATGAAATTTTAGAGTTTTTCACATAAAAAGGTCATCTTGTTGAACTTCGATAGCATACACCGTTTTCGCATAAAATCGATTTGAACAATATTTTACATGGCATAAAAATTCACAATTAATTCAGAACCATAGAAATGGACTCGCGTGGGCCTTGGAATACGGCTGCCATGTTTAGGAAAAAATAGAATAATTCAAGACAGGTGACAGTTTCATGTAGTAAGTGACAGAGTGTTTCTACTTTTTTATTTATATTAGATAAAAACCATCTTCAGGGGCTCCCTTTTTGGGGGCTTTAGCTCCCTTAGGAGGCATTTCTCGACCTATATTTATAGGGACTTTTTTCTTATTTTCGCACTTAGAATCTGCTGTTAAAGTATGGTGCACTAATTTCGGAACACCCTGTATATATAAATGTCATAAATTTTTAATTACCTACGTTTAACAAAAAATATTGCACAATCATATTTTTTTTTTGGATATTATTGCACATCTTTAAAAATTGCACTTTTAAACCTTATTTAACTTAAAAATATTGCACACATTTGAACCGTCTAACAACTATTTGGTTTGTTAGCTGAGCTCAAAATTATTTATAACTAAGAAACTGTCCAATTTTTTTTTAAATTACTTACAAACTAATATTGCTTTGCCTTAATTCTAGACATATTGCACAACCGGCCGTTTATAAAATATATCACATCAATATTATTAATGTATATTATGTACAAAATCTATTCTACGTAAAAATATTGCACTTTTCATAGCACTTATCTAAAAGATTTTTGAGTCTTGTATCAGAATTGTAAATTTTTTAAAGGCTTATGAAAATACGACAAATATTGGAGATGCCGCCATTTATGATGAATTTTTTAAAAAGCAATAAACTTATCAAAGCATGACATTTTTCACACCTATGCTCTGATTGGTTTATTGCTTTTTGTAGAGATTATTTTGTATAAAGAGTTAAGTCGCAAATTTCAAGAAATACCCCCTTAAGCCTTCTGTCAACTGGGGTTATATATTTTTTTACAATCTAAGAAAGGTTCTAAATAACTACTTATATTAACACTGTACGACAGTGGTGTAACTTATATTCTCTGAATCAGTGCTCTCAGGACCATCTCCATTTATTACACCACTATCCACTGAGTCGTACCTAGCAAAATTAAGGGGTTTTCGCTGAAAACTTCCGAAAAAAACTGAGTGTGTTTCCACACTTTCCCCTCCAGACTCACTGTGACCATCTCCCAAGCTTTCATCAGTTTCAGAATTGATACTTAATGGTTCCAAAGTTAGATGTATTTTTTTCTTCAGGGAGTCGTTGGAATCCGTGCTGAGATACCCAGAGTCTTCAGGTTTGTTAGCTGACCTCCAAGATTTTTTAACCTTATTACGATTTTTTAGATCCTCTATGGGCATGAAAGATTGCAAACTCTTTATCGGAACTCCAAAATTAATGTTGTTCGTGTTATGAAGTATGAACTGATCGTTTGCGCCCTTTTTTAATATTATATCTTCAGCCTGTATTAAACTCGTCAATATGTTGCCATCCTTTTTGTTTTTTTGTACCAAACAGAATTCGTAATTGTTTTCAACAATTTTGACAGGAGTGTCTTTTGTTGAGGTTTTTTGAGGCGTTGTAGTTTTAACACTCCCGCGCTTGCCGTTTTTTGGTGGTAGTGGAGGAATTTTACCATTTTCATCTATAAAAAAATATCATTAGTCTTTTAAAAAAATATTAATTGACCATCTTACCTATTATAACTTTGCGTGGCGGTTTAGGATGTTCATAAATCGGAGTATTATCATGAGGGGGTGGAGGGATAACATCAGGTTGAACATTAACTTCTTTAATATTTAATTTTCTCTGTCTTCTTGAATGCCGCTCTTCTAAAGTTAAGAGTCTACCTTCATCATCACTAATAATAGTTAAAGAAGTATTTTCATCATTTTTTTTGGCTTCAAATATCTCCCTAAGACTCCCAAAAGCCCTATTAAAAGTACCAGGTTTATCATCATCAACTGTGGAAACTATTGGTTCTCTTCTAAAACTACCAGTCGTTTTAAGTAGTATTTGATTTGGTGGTCTTTCGAGCGAATCCACGAACTCATTATGTTTGTTTTGTATGTTAAATCTAGGCAATTTCAGCTTGTTAGACTTTCTGTCCAACGTATCAGCCTCAAAGCTGTCTGAATCATCCACAGGTATATAATTATCAGCGCAATCTTCAACTTCTATGAGTAGTTTGCCTGGTTTCTCCTTACCGCCATCATAGCGGACTTTCAGAGTTCTTTCTTCCAATGTCGAGCAATTTGAGTCTGATGGAGATGATGGGTTACTACCATAATTGTACCCGTTATTAACATACACCTCGCTTACAAGACTATAACCATTGTTACGTTGTAACAACTCTGGAAGTCTGTATGATGTCCCTTTTTTCATTACTATCAACTCATAGTCATGATCATCTTCTTGTAACGAATCCTTGTTGTTATTTAGTTTAGAAATTGTCATATTACCAGTCTTTTTGTTGAATATTGCGTTCCTCATCGTCATTTCCTCGTCCATTGGTAGAGCAGTGCTTAGGCTTGGACTAGGTTGCGATGATATAACCTCGGCGTACTCACTGGGTGTGTGGTAACCCTTAGCATTTCTTTCCAGGCTGTCGGTTTCATATTCTATGGGTAACCTACGGGGTGGTTCCTCGTTTATCAAGTTATTTCTATGCACTGTTAGCTCGTTGATGACTGCATTCATTTGTTTTTTAGTTAAAGTTGGAATACGGTTTGTTATATCGACTTTGTTGTTGTCGACTACCATGGCTTCATTGATCATGTCAGGGTGTGGTAGGTTTTTCTTAAAGGCTTCTTCATGCGCTGGGATAATATCGTAGTGATTCTCTTCCTCCTTTTCCTTTTTTCCAGGGCTGAATGGAATAGGGGGAGGAGGTAGTTTAGGTTTCTTTACATTCGATTTTCTTAACCGTCTCGATTTTGTACTGCTCTTGCTTTTACTACATTGCGAATCTGGCGATGTAGCTCTTTCAGAGGCAGCTTTATCGGATGATGGCCTAGGCGATATAGCTCTTTCAGAGGTTTTAATACCGCATAGTTGCAATGACCTAGTTGGAGACCTCACTCTTTTAGTCACCTTATTTTTACAGCTATGCTGATTTTCTTCGTCTTTAAGTATGGGGACGTCCTCCAACCATTTGCGTATACTAATCTGCTTACTGTCATTACTAGTAACACAGTTATGACACGCTGCTAAGGCGGGGAATTCCGGTAGTCTTCCACATAATGTTCTAAAGTCTTGTGGTTCGCAACCTGGGCAACCTGTACATGTTTTTCTTCGACTATTTTCTCTTTTGAGACTGATAACACTACCATTGCGGGTTACAGGTCGTGCTACCTCATAGCTTTCCTGGTTTATATTGTATTCTTCTTCTGGTATTACTATTAGTGATGGAGTGAATCGTTTACTCTCCATTTTTTGTTTTGCTATAGTAATTACTTCTCGTATTTTGTAGAGAAACTCTATAGCAGCTGGTGGAGGAGCCTAAAATTATTTTCATTATTAAACACAATACTTTAAAAATTAAGTATCTTACCATTAATAATTGTGGTTCAAAATAGGCAGGGTTGAAGTATAGTTTCTTCCTTACAGTGCCACTTAAGGCTCTAAGGTTGTCTGGACGGTCTTCACGGCACTCTAATGTTTCCACTATGGAAACATTTTCCTCTGGTAGACACTCTATGGACGATTCTTGATGCGCTAGTTCTTGTAGGACGCTTCCAAAAATACCGTCGTATCTTTGATGAAGTTGAGGGTGGATCAGTGCTGAAGTTATCTGCATTTGCATCTATAAATAGGTTAAAATAAGTCAGAAATTTTAATGTTTTTTTATAATTGTTATTACATGTTTCTTTCTGTCTTCATTGTTTTGCACTATATCCGCTGTGGCATCCGTATCTGAACTCGCGGAATCACTATAACCATTATCAGGTGATTGAAAATGATTAACCATGGACAATAATGGGTTATTTTTTATGACGCCTTCTTCAGCCTGATTTAAATCATCAGTATCGTTCTTTTTAGCCTTGTTTTTTAAAGAGTTGCGTTTTTTAAGGTGTAGGTATAAAAAAACGGACGCTACGTAGATCAAACCTAGTAATAATGAGCAAATTCCTATTGCTATATATTCCGATATACTTAGGTGTGAGCTAGATGAGCCTGAAGCTGCGTGGGCATCTGGAGCAAATGCTACCTCACTAACATCTGAAAAAATATTTAATATGCCAGTAGCATTTTTTACTTTAAACATAAGTAACTTACTGTTGAGGTATTTAGTTGGAGTTCCAACCACCCTGAAGGCTACACAAGGGGAAAATAGCGCATGCACAGGGGCGGCTGTTTCCTCAGGGCTAGAGTCTAGTTCAGGACTTGCAAGATCTCTGCACATTAGGTATACCAACAAAAGGCGGCCTGACATTTTAGTGCGAAGTTCTGGTTCTCCATACCACTGAAATAAATAATAAACAACTAGTTTTAATATTTTTTTAGTGGAGTTTGTTATTTGTTTAAAGAAAAATTACTGGAAATAATTTACATACAAAATTTCATAACGCTGTATTAAAAGTTATTGCTTGCGCATATTTAATGGATTGTTGCAGTTTTAATAGTGCTTAATTAGAGTTTTTAAATGTTTAAATTAATTAGTTTGTAAACTATGATTACTTTATAGTCTATTTTAATTGAAACTTTATTGGCTAATAAAATAATTAAATATAAAGTAATTTGTTACTTGCTTTTAAAATGTATCAAGTTCTGATGCGAAATCATTTTTTCTCATAGTTATATGCCTTATGGCAGATATATGGGAAAGGATAAATATCATAATTGAAACATATACACAGTAAAAAAAGTAGTGAATATATTTAACTCTAGTAAACTCTAAAAACATATGCGACGACTTTTTTAAGAGTTATTTATTCACACTGATGATAGTGTAATAATTTATATTTCTAGGGTAAATATTATAACGGTATTTAGTGTTACATTTAATTTACTAGTTCATAAATTTAACACTACTGTGTGTTAAGGGCACTCTGGGTAGTGACCCGGGAAAAATAGTTTTGTTAATTAGAGTATTATTTTACACTATTTTTATAACATTTAGTCTCTTTAGAATCTTTTAGAGTAAACAAACTACTCTATTTTTAGTTAATATGCATATCTTTTTTACTCTGATTAGTAAACTGTACCTTCAAATCGAGTAAAAATTACTCTATCCTTAGTTGCTATAAAAAGAGAAAAATTAAAAACATATTTATATTCAAAAGTATAATTTGTGAAAAATAACAAAAATAAAAAATCATATAACTAATGTTAACATAAAAATAAAAACAATGTATAATTAAAATATGTAAATTAACTCGAACAAATGTTTCTTTTAAATCAATGCATCCATTTTGAATATAATTGGCTCGTTTCTGTTATTAACGGTTTTGGGACAAAATGCCTAATCACATTTCAAGTTTTTACAATAAAATATCTTTAATATAAATAATAAGAAATAATGTACCTATTTTATACGTATTATGCAGCAGCACCCACGCACAAGCGAACCATTAAACAGCCCTTGGAAACAGCACTAAACTAGTTTACAAATTTATAGACGCTTTGCAATCCCTACCACAAATAATAACCCTAATAGTGTAGATTTAACTCTTTTTAGTGTAAAAATATACTCGCTTACTGTTTACTTTACTCTAATCCAAAACAATAATACACTAGCAAGAGGAAAACTAGGGAAATTTTAACGCAAATAGCGGTTGTAAAATACTAATTTATAGTGTAAATGTTTTACCTTTTACAAAGTCTAAATTTACACTAATGCGATTGTATTAGACATTCGAGTAAAAAATATAATATTTTTAGAGTTACGTTATTATTACACTGTAAAATAATGTAATATAGAGTTATGTAGAGTAATATTAAGCTATATAGTTAAATAATTGGTGCATTTTACACTGAATATCAACTCTAAAATATTTACCTTCTACACTAGCTACTTTACTCGATCCATATTTTTTACTGTGTACCTTAGGATTTATGGCAACATATGACAAGGTTTTTTTATTTTATTGATATTTAAGTTTAAGACTTTAACGCAACAGTAATACTTCATAACAAATATTTAAATACGTTAAAAATATAAAAAAAACGACTAGAGTCATATAGTTAATGACTAGCGCTAAACATATGTCTTTTACATAGTTATAAATCATATTTCCGTGAATGTACATGATAAATGATTTATTATACAGACATTTATTAATCTGCATTTATTTATTTTTATGTAAATTTAAGAAAGTCTTTTGCGGGGAAATATTTCCGTGTTCACAATGTTTCAAAGATTATAAAGATACATATGATAATAAAGCACGTCCATATAAAAACCTTATAATGTACCAAAGATAATTTTAATTATACCCAATAAATTCACTTGTAGGTTCCACCAATGGTACTCGGTGTGTACCAGCGAGTTATTAATCAAAACCACCGAGATCTTAATTTAATTTGTGTGGGAAAAATTAGTTTTGTGCATGTCTTATAGTTTTATTTGACGTAATTATTTGCCATAAATCAAATTAAATAAACTTATCTGCATTCAAGCAGGTAGAGCTTAATATTTAATTATAAATTATTTAAATGAAGACATAGGTATATTACATGTATGTTGGCTATAGAAATTAGTTATTGTGGCAAAACCGCTGGTGCAATATAACGACATTGTAGATTAAAATATAATTTTTTAAGAAATAAAAAAAAATATTATGAGTTAGAATTACAAGTCTAAAAATCAGCGGTTCTCAAATAATTTGAAAAAAACTGAACATTTCAGAACCAAAAATCGTTATAACTTCGTTATTTACCCAATTTATGATTTTTTCGCCTACTAGATTTTGAGGTAGGTACCACCACTTTTTTTTTGTTTTTCCTACGGCCCCCATGTTGGAAATTTACATGGTTATTATAAATTTGATGTTAATAGGCTTGTAATAAGGCAAACTTTTCTCAAATTTAACCAACCTTGTAGCTCTAGTCGTGTACAATGGCAATTAAAAGGCCAGTGAAGGAAACAAAGAATATATTTGGACTAAAATTTAGTCCAATGTAGTTAAAACTAAGAGTACAATTTTGGAAGTAAATCTTAACTTTTTCAACTTGCAAAGATCACACCACCGTCTTTTTCTATGCATTGCTGCATTGCATGCAATCTGTTCCTGAAAACGAGGAAAACACGTCTAAGTAGATCTTCGTTTACAGAATAAATCTCTTCTCAAATTCTCTCTTTTAGCTCAATAATTGTTTGCGGATGGGTAGAGTTTACTTGACTTAAGAATACCCAAGAAAGAAAACTGGAATCGTTAAGTCAGGCGATCGTGCGGGCCAAGCAATGTCGCCAAACCTTGAAATTAAACAACCTACGCTGTAGAACACCAATGCTCTGTCTAGCTGTGTGAGCTCTAACTCCGACTTGTTGAAACCATACTTCATCTTGGTCTATTCTTTGGAGCTCCGCAGACACAAATGTTTCCAGCATCTCAACGTACCGATCTGAATTGACTGTAACTGCGCGGTTGTTTTCTTCAAAGAAGATTACACCAAAGTAGACAGTCCACACCACACCGTTACTTTTTGGTCATGAAATGGTCTCTCATGAATTTCTCTTGGGTTGTGTACGGCCCAATAGCGGAAGTTTTGCTTGTGAGCTTCGTCAGACCTGATCAGTTTATTAAGGATTTCTGCATTGTTGTTCATTGTCTCTAAAAATTGTGTGCAGAAATTGAGTCGATATATCGGAGGCTAAATCCCATTGATAAAGTCTATAGACTTTATCAATGGGAGTTAGCCTCCGGACTGTCTGTATCTTGTACAGATGGAGTTTTAAATCCAGATATAACATTCGTCGCAAACTTCGGTCTGAAATGTGTCGAGCAATCGAGAGCCGAATTACAGAACGTCGTGGACTTCGCTCAAACGCTTCTCTGACCCTTTTCTTATGTATATATATTTTCTTGTGTACGAACTATATACGAGTTCCACCGGCGAATTTTTATTTTACACTGCCTCTTTCGTTAAAATCTCTTGCCCATCTCAAAATGGCATTTCTTGATGGGACTTCAGCTCGCACTGTAAAATTATATTCACGACGAAAGCGCCCTTGCACACGAAATCTTCCGCAATAAGGTATAAGTCTGTCACTATTTGACATATACCAAATCAATAATATTTTCATAGCAACCGTTCGATTCTGATGCCGAACCCTGTACTTAAGATATACATCAAGTAAGGCAACTAGGAAAAATTTGATTTAAAAATTTCTTTCATATAATTTTAATAAAAAAAAACAATTCCAAAAATTCCAAGTTTGTATTCATTAATTGTGTTGGAATCTTTAAATTATAGTCAATTTATAGTGATTTTTTTTTTAGTTTTACCAAAATATATACCTTACCTTAAGAAAAGTCCTCCCCTGATCTCGAAAAAGCCTAAACGGGACATCAGTATCCACCGGATTCCTCAAATCCACCCACCCGGACTCAGTCAAAAATTTGGCCCCGGAAACGGCACATACGGGCGTCTTAATACCTGAAATCGCAAAAAACAACTCAATACTTTGATTTATAAAGTAAAACTAAAACTATACATTTCCACCAAGGTATCAAATAAATAAAAAAAGTGTTAACCAGTTTTCACTCGCCTTTATAATAAAATAAATATATTTGGCGTGGACATCTCAAAAAAGAAGCGACTTCAAAGAGCCAGAGAATCTCATTGATACGCAATGCAATTGAAAGTCTTTGGCTGATTTCTAAGATGTTTTATTGAATGGCGATTTCAATTTTAAATTGCAGGATTCCTATATAAGCCACGCGGAATAAATTTAACTTGTGTGTTTTGTTGGCAAAAAACATTGATTTAGTGGCATGCGTGTATGGTACAGACGATTTACATATATAAATAAACATGGGCGATAGAAAAATTGTTTGAGTAGTACTTAGAACATTATAAATCTTCCATTCGATTTTATTTAGTGTTTTTAGTAAAGAGTCGTGTCAGTATCACTTTGTGTAGTCTGATTTCATTTCCTTTCGTTCATTTTTAAGCAAATTTAAAACGATAGTATTAATTTTTTTCTCTATTTAATATTCTTAAGTTAACTGTTTTTTGAACCCGGGGATCTTTGACGAAATAAGAAATTATAATTTTTACTTTATTTAAGTGTAGCTTTGGTTGCTTTTATTATTTATTTTTCATGTCTTTTGTCATATATCATATTTTATGATTTTTTATATTTTTTAATGATTTATGTTCAAATTTTTAATTTTCACCCTTGTTTATGTTTTTTAAGTTTTTTTCAGGTTTATGAATTCAAATGCGTTTGAATATTAATTAAAATTATTAGCAAATTCTAATATTCTAATATTCGAATAATCTAAATAAAAATTCGAATTCTCAAATATTCGAATTTTTAAACATTTGTATATTAGAACTTTAAAATACTCCAAATAATCAAGTTAAAACTACATATTATTAGAATAATACGTTTCTTCTAATTTTTTTCCTCTTTAATATTTAAGAAATAAATAAATTCCTCGATTTTATTTCACTGGCTCTGACGAGTAATCTTGTAAGATTTAGTCATTTAATAAAAACTTTTTATAATTGTATTTTTTAGGCTAAGCATTGGTAAGCTGATTATCGTATCTCGGCAGGTTTTACAATATCTATAGAAAACTAAAAATTAGTTAAATTTCTTTTTGGATCATTGATCGGAGTAAAATTGCGAAACTTTTTTAATTTATCCAACCCATCCCCAGTAGCACAAAGTTATTGGCCCAATATTCGTAATAATATTGGGCTAATATATCTTTCGTCAGATTTTTTCTAGCATGGTCCAATATTGAAACCCAACATTGGCCAGAATTGTTTGACATTATATAACCGATATTGGAAATCCGCATTGGCCCCAAGTTGTTTTATATTATATTCTAGGAAAGTTGAGGGAGAAATTGAAAGAAAAAAAGATAGCCACCTAGTACTTACTACGTAGTAGGATTTCTAAAAGTGATATGTCACGATCGTGTCGACAAACGTTTGTTTTCAGGAAATGTTTATGATACTTAGGGGCGTAGAAGTGGGGGGCATATATATGCCCCCCCACTTCTATATGTATATATTATATAAATCAAAAAAAAAGTTTAGTCTCAGGTTAACAGAATTAAAGTGATTTTACATAAAAAATAATATAAATATGGCATATGATATTTTTTTTTATTCTATTTGAAAATATTTGAAATTTTTGATTAGTGTTATTTTTGATCGCTGATATCTTTGAAACGGTTGATCTGAAGAACTTTGACCTTCAGATGTTTTTTGTAGAGCGTGAAATTGTCTACCTATAACTCCCCTCGCTTGGGTGTTGCGAAAACAAACCATTCCAAAGTTATAAGAATTCAAAATTAAAAAAATAAAAATTCCCGTGTTATTGAAATAGAAAAACAAAAAATGAATTGAGGCAAACCTTAATATTAATATTAAGGGCTCAAATTATCGCCAAAATTTTTGTTTTTTAATGTACTATTAATTTTTCAACACCATTAGAAAAAAAATATTTTTTTTTGAAACACTGTAATATATATACATACTACAATAATTGTAATAATTATAATAACAATTATTAAAAGTATAAAGCGATGTTGATAGCTTTAGATGTCTTTTACAGACTAGGATGTAAAAAACTTCTTCTTTTAGTTATTTTTACAGCCTTGACAATAATAAAGCTTAAATTATAGGACGGTTAAAGAGAAAATTTGTTAATCATATCTTAACCTTAACCTTAAATCTAATTATAATTATTTATACCAACTCTGTTTTTGTTATTATTTTTGTCTGTCATATTTTTTGAGTATTTTTTCTAGTAATTTTAATTTTGTACTTTCCAGTAAAGGAATAGTTGCCAAACAACACACGTCTGCTAAATACATGAGTTTTCCCCAATATACTCATTTTTTTTGTAACCATTTCCATAATAGTTTTATTTTTAGTTAATAAACAGTAAAACAAAATTGTCAACGCTTTATGCTTGATAAGCTAGAATATCAAAAAGTTTATATTAACATTATTTTAGATTTTATATAATATATTATCTTCTATATCTTTGTAATAATAAATTAGATTTTTTGATTTTCTTTTAGCCAAAACAATTTTTTAAAGACTAAACATTATTTTGTTTAGTGTTATTTATTTTAAACCATGGTGCACTATAGATATAATAAATCAAATAATAAATTTTCTAGTTAACGCATTTAGAAGTGGAACCACGATACCAACTCTTATTTAACATGTCCCCTAGTTGTTTTGGTTTAATTAACAACCATTTATTTCGCGCTATAAGGCGACACATAAGCACACTTCCTACCATACATAACATTTTATTCTGTTATTCACGCAGTAAATAACGCGACACAAATTAAAAACCATTTATATTCTGTTTCATATTACCTACATGCATATCTATCCGTTAAATTTATTGGCTTTAACGGCGAGAAGCGTCAAGCTTAATCTTGATTTTGTTATTTCAGTCATTTGCATATTTCGTATGATATGAATCGTACGCGGATGTTTTTTTAACACAAACATAGAAACCTATATTAGTGTCCAACTATTAATTTTTATTTATTGCTTGGATCATATTTTTTAATAACGTAGGATCTAATAAATTGTTTAATATTTAATTAATTAACCTGAAATTTAAATTTAAAATTTTTGGACATAATTTAAAAAGAATTTATTAAAATTATTCTTTTTTATACTTTTTTAAAATAATCCCGTGGTTTGACGTTAGTGTGCCATTTTTGACTAGTTATCAAAAATAACCACGGAACAAACGAATTTGGGCAGTGGATTTACTTAGGAGACTATTCACTATTTGGAAAACTGGATTTTAAACTTGTCGATACGTGTTCCTCACGACTCCAGTAGCACAAAGATATTGGCCCAATTCGTAATAATATTGGTCCAATATCTTTCTTCAGATTTTTTCTAGCATGGTCCAATATTGAAACACAATATTGGAAATCCGCATTGGCCCGAAGTTGTTTTACATTTTATTCTAGGAAAATTGTGGGAGAAATTGAAAGAAAAAAAAGATAGCCGCCTAGTACTTACTACGTAGTAGGATTTTTAAAATGATATGTCACGATCGTACTTAGGGGCGTAGAAGCGGGGGGGCGGGTGACAATGCCCACCCAAATGATAAGGGGAGAGGGGGTTACTTGATATAAAATGTACCCTCCAAATTCTTTGAAAAAATCTTCCAATAAGACAAGTCGTGTACCGTCTATGTTATTCTTAATTACGATGAAATGCTAAAATCGTTTGTATCGTGTGCTAAAATGATCAGCTTGAGCTTTATTAACGTAATAACGAATTTTATTGCTAATAAGACAAGAAATCGCATATTACCATTGTTATTCTTACGGTAATATGCAATAATGGCCTATATTATTTTCACCCATTTGGTGCTAAACAATAAGGATGGTAGTCGGTTGCGCCAACCCCAACTTAAAACAATTCCTGCGCCACTAGTATAGACATATCCTGGAAACAAACGTGTGTCGTTACATATCACTTTTAGAAATCAGAAAGCATCGTTGACTATAGTTAATGATATATTGGCGTAAAATAATATGCCAATTTAGGACCAACCTTGGATAAACATTGGCAAGATATATTAAATTATCATTTTATGCCAATATAGGGCTAAAATCGGCTAAATAAATCCAATATTGGCCCCAGATAAAATATTGGGCATAGACGCGCCCCATATAGGACCAATATTTTGTGCTACTAGGGGAGGAACCGACAGACGGTTTTTGGTAAATTGGGCCTCATCAGTGTCGGGTAAACATGTGGTGTGGAACACGTTCCTTATGTTTTTGTGTCGGCAAAATCCTGCTAAACACATAGATGGACGACGTCCCATACGGTAGATAAGGCTAATAGCCTACGTTCATTGTGTCATCGTTGTGGCTCTACCTGCTGCCCAGAGCTGGGCACGAGTACTAAAAAGAGTATTCGTAAAATTTTAAGTACGAGTACTTAAAATATTTACTCGTAAGTACATTTGTAAAGAGAGGTTACGGTTACGAGTAGTAATCGTGAAAATAAGAGTACTTTTGAAAAAAAAATGTTAGTTAATATAATTAATTATTCTTTATACATTATACATACTTTGGTCCTGAGCTATAAAAATACATACATAAAATAATAAATAAAAAACAATTCTTAAATAGTTTATAATTTTACCTATTTACTTGTTATAAAACCTATAGGCTATAATACATTATATTATATAATTTAAAACAGACCAAACAAAATGTTTTGAATCTTACGATATTTTGGCAAAAAGTCATTGATATAATAAACGAAAATACTCGTATATATTTCTCGTGAATTCCACGAGTATTTTTTAAGAGTACATTCAATTTGGTTTGTAAGTACGAGTAATAAGTATTTCAAATGAAAAATATAAATAATTGAAATACGAGTAAAAGTACTCAGTACTTGGCCAGCTCTGCAGCTGCCTATTAAGTAGCAGAAAACAGTTCGTTTGAGGCGTGTTTCACACAACATGGCTACCCGACACTGATGAGGTCCAAAATACAGTCTGTCTGTCGGTACCTTGTGGTAAAATTTGATTTAAAGTAAAACATACTTTAAGAATACAAATATTATACAATTTAATAAGTTAATATAGACATTGAGATATAGAACCATTAAAGATTAAAAAAAATAATAATTTCACTGTAACAATTAAAAATCAAATAATTAACTTCCGCAAAGTTGGTTGTATCCATACTGAACGAACAATTACCCATGCATGTGGAACTTAAATATAAATCCACAGTGGTGTAAACAAAAAAATATAATATAACCACTCGAATTGGCAGAACCTTTAAATAATTTCCTTAACCCCGACCATTTATAACGTAGCCCAAAATTATATTCATTTATTCAAGTTACGTTATATTCTTGAATTTGATGTTTGTTATTGTTATTTATATATATATATATATATATATTAGGGTGTGCCAAAAAACCTCGATATATTTTTTTTCTTGCTCTCAACCCAAAATATCGTAGAATATGTCCGAACAAATATTCTGTTAAAAGCGGAGCTCATAATTTCAATTTTAAGAGGTCCTCCATCGAATCTGAAGTTTTGCCGCTTAAATAACACAGAAAACTGACTTTTTTACCTTATTTATTCTTGCAACCTAGGAAGAAATTTTTTTTTCATAAAAATCATGACCAAATCTTACAAAGCATTAAATTTGGAAGAAAAAATCTTATTAAGCCGAATTTCTATTTTCATTATTTGATTTTTTACAGAGCTTTAAATTTAAAATTTTACGTTTTTTGCCTTTTTCAGCTAAACTATTTAAGTTAGACGAAAAAGTCTAATAGCAATTTTTTAGCTTGTCTGATGGACCACAAAAAAGTTTTAGGCGAATTTTTTGTATCGTCAATATTCTTAAAGTTACAGGCGTATAAAGTCATCATTTTTGTATTATTAACTTTAAATTTAAAGCTCTGTAAAAAATCAAATATTGAAAATAGAAATTCAGCTTAATAAGATTTTTTTGTCCAAATTTAATGCTTTGTAAGAATTAGTCATGGATTTTATGAAAAAAAAATTTCTTCCTAGGTTGCAAGAATAAATAAGGTAAAAAAGTCAGTTTTCTGTGTTATTTAAGCGGCAAAACTTCAGATTCGATGGAGGACCTCTTAAAATTGAAATTATGAGCTCCGCTTTTAACAGAATATTTGTTCGGACATATTCTACGATATTTTGGGTTGAGAGCAAGAAAAAAAAAATATCGAGGTTTTTTGGCACACCCTAATATATATATATATATATATATATTTTTTTTTTCATCCACACACAGATACTCTCGAGGCATCTTGTGGATTATTATGTTAATTGAAATTTTATTTGTAACTATGTTTTAATATTAAGATTTTAAACTACTTTTTTAATAAACGTTATATTATTATTATTGTTATTGTATGCTCTCCCTATATAAATTAAGCATAATATACGTGAATCCCCTAATACAATTTTTTGCATATTTCGTGGCACTGTGTTATTTCTCCCAGATCTATATCAAAATTCATCTTATAAACGGACATAATCACAACAAAATGAATAAATTTAACAATTCATAATTTCCAACGAGCGTTACATCCGCCGCATAATTCATAATAAATATGAGTGTGCGTATTTTTTACGCAAATTGCCATCAAACAACAAAACAAAGCGCACAGAAGGATAAGTACATAATTAGCAATTACTTTTACGTTTTGTTTAATTCATGTTCTGGTTGCTGCATTTGACGTTTATTGGGCGATTATCTGTATTTATTTAAGAGTTTTAGCCAGTTTAATTTATAACTTAATTAATATTTCTATTAATAAAACTAACCGGGCAAGATTCGAAAGATTGATGGCTTGATTATGCTTTTATGGAGTCTTTAAGTTGAACCATAAAAATGAATGCAATAAAGAGCAAACTGACCATTTTATGAATTTATTTAGATTTAGTCGTAATAAATTCTGAAAAAAATAATTTAGTCGCATTGTATAGCAAAAACTGTTAGCGTTCTTAATACTTATACTTTTACTTGGACAAGAAAAGAAAGTGGGTGCATAATTAGAACGTTCACAAATTGAACTGAACTGTCAACAATTGAATAAGTTAATTATAAATTAATTATATATGGGCAGATCCATTACTTTTCGACAAAAGTGTGCGGGGGTAAATCACCGATTTGGCTGCCGATTTTTTTCTCGATAGTAGGTCATATAAGGACACGATCCTGAAAATTTGAGCTCGATATAGGTAATTCCGGCTGCAAGAGAATTTTTTGAAATATAAAAAAAGTCGATTTTTTAGTAATTTTCAAAAATTCGTATCTCAGCTCTTATTTAACTTAGAGATATGATCAAGACGGCATTTTTCTCTGTTATCCCTCTATTTTCAAGAAAAAAATAGGTTTTAAGTTTAAACTCAAATCCGGCTAAGCTGTAAGCCTCCAAATAAAACACTGCTTAAGATAAATTTTGCCAATTTTTAAAGTGCTCTCAAATCTACAGTTTTTGAAGCAGTGGAATAAATGACAGATGATATTTTTCGTTAAGGTATACTCTGTTGGAATTTACCCATTTTTTACTTGATTGCTTCGATTTCTCTAATGTATGGCCACTCAAAGACAATTGATTTTTGGAAAATCGCTGTTTTCAGATACCTACAACTTTTTTCTATCGATCCGAAATCCTTTGATAATTTCAGGGATTATACTTTATTCTATCCCCAAACAACCCATCAAAACTTTTCCTTGGGTATTGAAGTGGTTTCCGAGCTATGGA